GGCCAAATGTGTGCCAAACAGTCGTGTTGTCTCTTCTTCTGTCCTAGGCTATTCACCTCTTCAATATCACAATTTTTTCTTGTTTATCTAAACCTATTCGAAACTTATTTACATTTGCCGCTGGAGCGTTGATCCGAGGCTGCGGTTTAACCCACAACACTGTCTCATCTGGTCCTATCAGAGCCGACCTTCTTGCTCCGTAGGATCCTTCCCTTGTCTGCCTATTTCAGTGATAGTTGCCACCGTATCCGTGCTAGTCAAGGCGTTGTTCTACACTCTGTCTCAAGCCTTTGATAGCACGTATATACCAGACTTACTGAGCAAGTTACTAAAGTATGGATTCTCAATTGGCATGGCAACATAACTTGACGTTACAGATTCCTTTATCATTGTGCCGAATGTGTACCGAGTAAATCTCGTGGTTGAGCCCTTACTTTATGGACCACGTCTATGAGCTAGCTTATTGATATTGTGGGGGTGATACGCGAGGATATGTGATAGGTGGACAGCTTGGGACAGGAGAGATACCACAACTGTTTAGCACACGCTTGGTCAAAGAATCGTCTTCACTTGTCTCTTAGACGAGTTGTAGTGTGATGTTAAAATGGGGAGGCTCACTGACGATGCCGACTACGATGCCGGGGAAACGTCTGGGAATGTGCCAACTCTGGAAATGTTCACACATATTATGGACGCCGGACAAGGTGTGTTCATCAAGGTCCCCCTGCCAATATGACCAAGTTGCGAAAACAAGGTCAAACAACTTCTATACGATGAAAGGAGATCGTAACCCTGTAAAATGTCACGCCATCATGGTCTTCATACCTTCGATTAGATAGCTGAAGCTTGAATATGCAAAATATTGCTCATATATCAACTCAGGATTCGCCGTCCGGTCTTATGACCAGATTTTAAAAATTAATATGAGGATTACTAAACTCCTCCACAAACTTACTTGTAAAGATTTGTCTTTCCGATCAAATTGGAAGCTTCAATATGACACCTCAGCCAAGGTTAGCGTGAAAAGAATCTGGTTAATCGTTTTTCCTTCATTAGCCAAGGACTTTACGACTGTATTCTGGTGTCACCCCTTTTTGTACACAACCCAACTGCAATCTTGGCCCACGGACAAAACCAGCTTACCCAAGGTAAAGGGAAATTTACTCAAGTTTTACGTTATCTATTCGATTTTCACGAAGTGCCTTCGATGTATTTTCAACCTTCTTTGTCTTATAGAAATGGTTTGACCTTCTTGTCGCAACTTGGTCTTGTGGTCAGGGAGACTATGTAGAACGCACCTA